TATTAGACTTAGAGAGTCACACACATATAGTAGGTGTTGCGGCGGAGTAGAGGTTCGGATATGATATATATGTTGAAGCTCATATTTTATTAAATATCCAATAAGCTCCTATATTATTGGATCTTATGGATGAGATCCAACAAGAGCCAATAAGAGATTATTGGATAAAGATCCAGTACCCAATAAGATAGAATCCATTAGAGTTAAGTGGTAGGAATCTCTATAAATAAGAGGGATCAAAAGGTGGCATAAGCTAGTCTTCTCTTGGTCACCTCTCTTATTCTCCTCCCTCTCCTCTCTTCTTCAGTTAACAACTCCTATTTGGGATATGTGGACAGTAAGAAAGGCTAGCCCCTTCTTGAAGATAGTACATTCTTGTGGTACACGTGAAGAAGAAGATCATACTACGATTTGAGGAGCGTCGTCATCCCATCTGCCATGCGGATCACCGCTAGAGAGGAGGATGTAGACAGATTTTTTGGTTTTGCGGTTTCTCGTGCACTAATCTTCACATGACGACTAGATATTTTTCTTTGGAAAATTTAGGTTTTTAGTTTTATTTTTCACTATATATGTGATGCTCTATTAAGGTTTCTCAACACGCTAATATGGCTTACCACTAACTACATGTCGTTGAAGACTTCAAACTCTTCCACATGTAATTCCAGAGCGAGGCGTAGCCTCGGCAATAGTGCTTCGTATTCAGTTTTGTTGTTGGTGATCTTGAATTCGAAGCGAAGTGCATGCTTGTATAGTTGATCGTCCGTCCCTTCAGGACAAGCCTCGACCCTCCTCTCTCGACATTGGCTGACCTATCCACATAGAGGGTTCATCTTGGCGAGAGCCATAGGCGTAGCGATAACGAAAGCCACGATAGCAATACTATAGGTGTAGTAGAAACCACAGCAGCCAGGCTCCAATGGTTAAATCTCTATAGTGATTGAACCATTAAGAAAGACCACCGAGCAAAATAACAAAACAGGGGAAGCCCAATGTATGAACAAATGCTACGATGGGGAGTGCGATTAGAACAGACTACGATGGTTTCAGAAAAACCACCAAACAGAGCAGCAAAACAGGGGAACTCCGATGCATGAATCAAAGGCTCAACTGTTCTTGACGAGGTTGGGTTTTGATGGCTTAGATTGATTATCAAATTATAGATTAATTGAGGATATAAGAAAAAAAGAGATATCATTCTATGTATATTTTTATCATAATCATCCATCAACTAATGCTAGTTATTATATTCATGTGTCTCTATCCTACTCCATTTAATAGTCTTATTTAGCAATTCATAGTAGATTGACCTGCATGGAAGTCTGTCTCAGATTTATGAAGTGTGAATAAAAAGTCTACCATAATTTCACTCTTTGGACTTTACAGAACATTGTAACCCATAATTGATGTTGACATCAGGCATAACACCATAAAATCAACTATGATACAGAAGTCACTTTCATTGGACCCATTAATTGAGAAGGGGCTGAGGACATTGGTGTGTTCAGAATTGTTACCAAGGTGTCCAGGTTGCAGCTTCTCCATTACTTCTTCCTGATGTATTGCTCTCTTTATTGTGCATAAGATCTTGTTTGTCCACTTTCTTTCCTCTTGTTCATCAACTGTGGGACAGTACCTCCTGATCTCATGAGAAAGATATATAGTTCAATGGTATCTTGAAGAAACAAATCAGTATACATCTGCAACATCTCATCCTTTTGACTAAATCCAAAGCATTAAATCCTGTGGATGTCAGAAAATTCGCTTGCTTTTCTGCTTAGTAACACCTTAATTGCATCTTTCTAGTTTGTAATCTTATTATTCTTGACTGCTAGCTGTTGTTGTGACTCACTCTCAGTAATCTTGTGACTTCAACATAATCAGCCACTTCTTCTAACCAAATTCCCAACTGTGAACTCCCTCAACAAGTACATCTGTGCTTCACTTTCAGCACAGTCAGCATAAAACAATGCTTGCAGACAACACTTTGCCACCTTCCCAAGTTATCAAGACAGTGTTTTGATGAAACCAAACCATTACTGGCTTACTTGTGCAAATATTTTAGTCCTGAGGCAGTAAGTAGCCAATCTCTTTCAAGAGAATGATTGATCACAACCATTTGAGCTTGTTGGCATGGATGACCATTAATGCTTAGCACAATGACATGTTGTATTGTATGTGCTGGTTACAAGTAGTCCAAGCATTCGACTGAGCCACATACTTGATCACGGGTTGTTCTACCGGATTGTCATTGGGTTGGGATGTGTTTGCATCATTCCAAGTTGTTCTTTGTCATTAACTTAATTATTTGGGATGTCATGCATTCTTCAAGGAAACCAATGAATGGATGTTAGCTATAATCTTGGTAGCTAATTCCACAAAATGTTCTCAAAATATTATGATGCTGTCTTCAAATATCTTCATAATATATTAGTTGTCGGCAAGGATGATACCATTCCTCTGATAATTGATTATAATACCATTCAGTGAGGAGACTCTTTTTAATCTTAAACAAGTATGATGTGGAAATTAAAACAGAGGACTTCACTGAACTCACAAGTATCAGATTTATGATCATTCATTGAGATTAGAGTACCATTTTTTTTGTTTCTTTGTAGCTCAATAGCTGCCAGCACTTTTATCATTCTCTTGCATTGGAATGATCGGCAGAGTTTGCATCATCATATGTAAATCTGAAAGTTATGCCTTCAAACTAAGAAAGCGCATAGATTATATCCCAAGAATTCATAGTCATGTTAGTCCTTCAAAGAGAATAAGATGTTGGCTTAGATGGATGAAATTGGATAATATGCTTCAAAACAAACTAGTTTTTCATTTTTTATATCCTATGAACAATAAATAGCAGGCAAATAAAATTCATCATGTATATATAAATATAAATAATGGCTTAACCAACAACAACTGTGAGCTAAATAGGAGGAGATACACACTGAATGATTAGACCTTTGACAAGGAAGCTGCATCAGCTTGTCCATCTGATAGATAAAAGAGCTTACAACTTGTTGAAAGCTCAATCATAGGCATCCTTTAGCAGCTGAGCTACCCATGCGCACACAACTTTTCAAGAATTGACATCCATTTAATGGAACATAGCCATCCGACGAGTGATCTTAGAGAAAGAATAATGATGCAAATTTCTTTACTTGGTCTCCCTTAGTGGGATAAAATGCAACTCTCTCTATCTTCAACTCTTTTGTCACAGCTTTTGGATCATCCATCCTGCCACAGAATGTTTAGATCCATGCATAGCTGTTGCTGCTGATGCAAAACCAATCAAATCTGTTTGGTGCTTGTTATAATCACTCTGTAATTTCGATTGCGATGCAGTTAATCGCCCTTGCATTAATCGATACAAATTGTTTGTTCCAGTGATGGAGACAAAGACAATGATGAGTATGTCATTTTGTGACAGTGAGGAGCAAGATGAGTGGTCCATCAGGAATCCATCGACATCGTCATCGATCGTTCTATATCGATCGAACAGCGACCGGGCGATCGGTGGATTGCCAACCATGTTGAATTAGTTGCTCATGATGCTATCGCAGAATGATTGAGCTGATTATGATTGGGAGCCGGGTGACAGCACGAGGAGGAGGGTTGGCCAATGAGGGACTCATCGCCAATGTGTTCTACCTGCAATTTCAAGGGAAGGAGAACGGAGCCATCACTCTTTGTACAAAGCCTGAGCTCCATTGGCTGTCCAAATGGAGAAACCATCAAAGTCCCCAATCATGGTGCTTAATAATTGCATCTCATTTCCTTATCCAAGATGTGCTTCTTGAACTCTATCCTCCTCCATCCACACCCAAACTAATGGAGAGCCATGCTACACCTCATCAACGAGCCTAACAAGGACAAAGTGTCACTCTTTTCGGTGCATCAGCCATTGGGAAACCTATAGATGTGATCCTCTTCTCCTTTCCCTGTGGAAAAGCAATGGTGTTTGATTACATAAGACACTTCATTGGATCTTCTCTGCAGCGTCATCTTTGTTCTTGCATGCAGGGTGCAATCTCGTTGCAGCAGGTTCTCTAGCTTGGCATTGCTTGCGTCATCTGAGGTAGAGTTGGAGAAGTTCCAAAATGCTTGTCTATCTTCTCTCGATCTGTCTTCAGATCACACTTAACAGTGTTTACTTCAAATCTGTTCCCTCAAAGACTAATTAAAGATTAGACATTATCTCCACTAAAAGATACTGTCTTTACTAAATTATCTTTTTTCTGCAAGGCCATAAACCTCTTTTACAAAATACAATTAGTATGGAATTTTGTTTTACTTGCAAGGGACAAAATCTAACAGGCGTACTTTCAAGATTTGGCGGCTACTGATCAAGAGAATTGGATCCACATACAACAGAATCCAGCCTAGGTTATTATTATTAATTATCAGCTTGGATTACAGGGACTCGTGATCTCATTTTGGTCCATTTGCTATTAATTAGTGTATATATATGGATCTTAAGAATAATACATTAGCAACTTATTTGGGATAACTTGTTTCTGTTCCCAAATCAAACTAGGCAACATAAAAACCATCGTACTTGTTCTACTGTGATCAAGTGTTAGTTCTCATGCATGCATGTTAAGAACAGCCCGTGACTTGTTTGGCTCAGATAAGAGGACAAGAGATGAGACCCACTCCCGGCGTGACCATGAATAATTGTAGACGACGGGGCCAATTATTACCTCATACCAACTCCCCGTCATCTCGTCAGAATTATTTCTCGTACATTGCAACCTCAAATATCGTAAAACCATTCTGTGTTTCGACAATGAACTTTGAGATGATGTCTTCTTTTTCTCCTTTGCCATATCGAGATTTCTTGCTGTTGCGGTCTTCTCAAGTCCTTCAGCACAAGCATCAGTCCGTTGACGTCCAATCGGAGACTGCGACGGCTGCACACGCTTCTACTGCAAACGATAGACTCCAGGATCGTTAATATATATATATATATATATACGCTCCCAGACCTCCTCCTCTCAAGAATTGAAGCTCTCGTAGGTTGCCTGCTGCACCAGCAAATTAAAAGCCTTACTCTGATGGGACTGAGAGACATAGAATTCACGTTGCCACCAGGGTTCAGGTTCTACCCCAGCGATGAGGAGCTGGTCTGTCACTATCTCTACAAGAAGGTGATCAACGAAAGCACCTCGGAGGCGACCATGGTGGAGGTGGATCTGCACACTCGCGAGCCATGGGAGCTTCCAGGTAAATCGACCTACTTTGCTCATTGTACTGATCTTATGCTAAGCTGTGGTCTTGGATATGTCGTAGATGTGGCTAAGCTGGGCGCCGACGAGTGGTACTTCTTCAGCTTCCGCGACCGCAAGTACGCCACCGGATCGCGCACGAATCGGGCGACCAGATCTGGTTACTGGAAAGCTACCGGGAAAGATAGAACGGTTTACGAGCCGAGCACGCATGCGAAGGTTGGGATGAGGAAGACGCTGGTGTTCTACGGAGGTAGAGCTCCCAATGGAATAAAGTCTGGCTGGATCATGCATGAGTTCCGAATGGAGAACCCTCATTCACCCCCTAAGGTATATATATATATATATATCATATATAGCTTTCATTTGATCAAGAATTCGCCCTTTTCTCTCTCTCTTCTTTTCTTGGTTCTTCAGCCACATCAAATTTTCTTGGTTCTCTCTCTTCTTTTCTTGGTTCTTCATTCACCCCCCAAGGTATACATATATCATATATAGCTTTCATTTGTTGCGGTAGAGATTCGTATCACAAAGATTTGCCTACTACAAACATCTGGAAACCATGTTATACTTTCTATGATGATACTTTTTACACCAAATTTTCTTGCTAGATATGAACTAGTTTAATCTTTTTCTTCAGGACTTCATGATGTGGTTGTTGGCATTAACAAGTGACTGTTGTAGTTACAGAATAATCACAGCAACTCTTGAAGATGACACTTGTTATGTAAGATGATAGCAAAATGACATGCGAAACCATCTTATACTTTCCATGATGATACTTTTTACACCAAATTTACATGGTAGATGTGAACTGGTTTAACCTTTTTCTTCAAGACTTCATGATGCAGTTGTTGGCAGTATTAGGAGAATGATGTAGCTAGAAAATAATCACATGAATTCTTGAAGATAAGACTTGTTACGTAAGATCATAGCAAAAGGACATGAGAAAGAGTATGATTTAAGTTAAGGCGATAGATGCCAAAAATAACAGAGAATGATTAGTTTTTGTTTGGGCTATTTAACTGAAGGCAATAGATGCCAAAACTTACACCACTCTTAAATGTGGTCACATATGTGTATCTTCTTGTGGTGCAAATATGGTATTCCAGAAACAGTACATGTCAGCTCAACCTTATCTCTGATGACACATAACAGCGCGTTCATGGCTCCGTTTGGTGAATTCTCTTGTGGCAGGAGGACTGGGTTCTTTGTCGGGTGTTTAAGAAAAGCAAAGGGGAGGCTGAGCACGAGAACACTGGTTCTTCTTCTCCCACCTTGAGGTCATCTTCTTCGCCACTGGACCTCCTTATGCCAGATGTTGTGTGCCATGAACAGTTGGGTTCATCATTCTCCACACTCCCACGGCAAGAAGACAGCAGCTCAAACCCCTTTATGAACATGGCAATGCTGCAGTGCAACCTGCTTGACTTCCCACAGGAGATCATGGGAAGCACGGCGATGGTGGGGATGAGCTCAAGCTGTGAGGGTGAGATTGGATGCCTGATGGAGTTGGGATTCGGGCATGGTTTTGGGGAAGCAGGAATGGCGAGGTTGGATGCTACAGCAGGCTTCTGGATGGACAAGATGAGTGATTGAACACCTAGAGATGTTGAATGAATGCATTATTGTAGTGAGTTGTATTATGTGTAAATTAATGTTTATATATTCTTTATTTTATGGAAGGGATAAGAAAATTAAGAGTTTCTTTTTTCATTATCTTATTGATAGTTACAAATGATTAGGAAAAAGAAAACCGTCCACGGGCGCCTTCATCTCAATAAAAGAGTCATGGATTAATATACTATTGAGCCACGTCAGCTGACATTTAGCCATATCATACCATATGGCAGGTTGCTAAGCCACCACGTCAACCGATATCGCACCACATGCCAGGTTGTTAAGGCATGGTAGTCAACATCACACCACATGGCAGGTTGCTATCCAATGTCACCCAACATCACGCCACATGGCAAGTTGTTAAACTATCACAAGGCAGTGGAAACGTATTGATAAGTTTATATGGGATTAATATGCTTTTGAAATAACTGATACAGAAAAATACTTTGGCTTTTAGAATCGAACCAGCCAACTATTAGATATGAGAGTCGAATATTGTATAAAAAAATTAGTACGTGGAACATTGAATATCGAGCCAAGGATCGGTTAACATGAGATCCCTTCGTGTTAAAGGTTCGGATATTATGTCAAAATGATTAAATATTACGATGGAAGATTGGATGTCGTGAAAAAATCAACGTACCGATGTAATAAGTAATATCTCGAAGAAAAGAACGATATATTAACAGTTTCGATGAAATACTGAAAAATTAGATAATGCGTCGAAAGAATATACAACGTACCGAAAGCTTTTGTAAACGTGTCGGATATGTGAATAATTTATCAAAGTCTTAATTGATGTTATTTTGGATTAATTTAGGTCAATATTGAGTCATAACAAAACGAACTTATCAAAAAAATTATTGGGCTTCAAACTAAGTTGAATTGAGCCCGTTAGAAGGTTAAACCGGTGACCTAAACTAAACATAACGGGTGATATTATCAAGCCCAAGGGATAGTACCGCCTAAGTTAGCCAACAAGTATTATTTATGCTTTGTCTGGTAGTACCACCTAGGGCAATGGTAATACTACATATAATTTAAAATTTGTGATGATAGTACAATCGATGTCCAAATTTATGATATCAAAAGTTACAAAGGTATTACCTCCCAATATAAGTGGTAGCATTGCACGTATCCCAAAATTTTAGAGATTTAAATTTTTATTCTATTTTTAAAATTTTTTAGGCATATAAATACTCTACTCGGATGGTTGATGAAGCATTCATTTATGAGGTAGTGAAGTATTATAAACTCTCATTTTGAGCATAATTTGAGTCTCTTCATCTTAAATTTAGTTGAAATTTCAAGTTATAAGAGGTAAGATATCTATTGTAAAAAGAGACTGAAGATTATCTCCTACAAAAAGAAGAGAGTTGTAATAAGGGTAGTTGATCTCTATTTGTTGAAAAGAAGATTAGTAGTGAATGTCGATGGTCTCAAGGTAAAAGGAATCAGAAATGAACATAGGTCCAAAAGATCAAACCATGATAAATTGGTTTAGGTCCAAAAGATCAAACCATGATAAATTGGTTTACCTCTCTTTACTTGCCTGACTTAGTCTTATTCTCTTTACTTGCAACTTTAACTTGATCAATTAAAATTTTAAAATATATTAATTTATTGATCGAGTTTTAAATTAATTAAAAATATTATTGCACTAATTCAACTCCTCCCCTTCTTAGTGTTATTAGGATCATAACAATTGATATCAAAGCAAGGTTCTCTCGATTGGGTTAACGCCCAAGATGTTAGAAAATCACAAAAAGCATCACATATGTAGCAAAAAATAAAAACAAAAAACTAGTTTCCCAAATCAATCTTATCATATAAACTTATTGTATTGAACGGCTATGCCTTTTTTTACTATAAAATATGCTTAATGAAAATATTAATTCTTATACATGTGTAACCAATATTTTATAGAATATTAAAAATAATAATTTTAGAAAACATGTACTTTAATTTTAAAAGTAAAAAATATTAACATATTTTTTATCATATTTATAAAATATTGACATCACAAATCATATCACTCACTAAGTGAGGTAACATATATATTATTTATGTTTTTATTGGTGTGTTAATTATAATTTAATTTGTAAGAATCAGCACTATATTTTAAAAATTGTGTTGTATCTTTGTTTATAGTTTATTAATTAATGGGTCAAATAAAAAAAATATTATATTATATGATCTAATTAACTTAGGATAAGATATATTAAAAAATTAATTAAATTTATATTAAAGTTATGACAAAAAGAAAGAAAGTTTATGAAACTTTAAAAGATAATTGGAAGGACTCTCCTAATTATTATTATTATTTTTTATGAATCTTTCGATTTTGCCTATAAAATGAATTTCCTATGGATCTAATCATCATATTTATCAAATCATGTCTAACACCTCTTCTCCTTTTCTTTGATTTGATTGATTCCTATTCCATCGAGTTATAGATTTAGATAAATCATATGATGAAATAAATATCTATGGTGTAGTGCCTTAGAATATTAAAGTAGTTTAAGATATTTAAAATACCTCCACTGATTATGATATTAAAAGATACCTAGCATTATCCTTAATCGACCATACATTTGATTTTAATCTTGATATAAAATTTTTGCATTACAATTTAATTTTATAGAAAAGCTAACGTAGAGGAGGAGAAAACGAGAAGGAGACGGTAAAAAGTGGGAGGAGGAGGAGGAGAAGATGTAAGTGAGAGACACGAGGAGAAGAGAAAGGAGAGAAGGAGATGACCGAGGTGGAACGAGAAGAGAGGAACGTATATGGTGGGGGGACAGGAGAGTAGAGAGAAAAATAATTTAAAAATAAAAAATAAAATTGATATTTGTGAAAGAAAAAAAAAGAAAGAAAGTCGTCATACAATTAAAATTGTCATACGGTTGGGACTACAAAGACGCTACTCAAATCGTTGCACAAATCTAATCTTTATGCGCACCACGAGATCAAGAAGTGGCCGACCTCGGTAATTTTGTGATTACAAGTGCAAACGGTGGCATTTTGGTAGTAGTAGTGTGTTACCCTTATGTGGGACGGCCAACGAAGCAAGCCTGAAACACCGGTTCGTTATAAGACCTTGGCACACCCCCCAACTCGCCGCCTTGTCTCTTCCCCCTTCCATCGCGTGCGGCGGCCTCGTTCTCTCTTTGTCGGATTCAAATGGTGAGAGATCTGATCTCTTTTCGTCGTCGATTCGTTGATTTCTTGCGTCGGGTCACGGTTCCTTGTTCTGATGTAATGCTTCTCGCCTGGCTCTTGAGCTGATTTCGTGTATTTTACGATAGCCGTTCAAGCGATATGTAGAGATCGGCAGGGTTGCCCTCGTGAACTACGGGAAGGAATACGGCAGGCTTGTCGTCATCGTCGACGTTATTGATCAGAACAGAGTACGTCATTCTCTCTCTTGATTGTGAGTAAGTTTGATTTTTCGGCGTGTTGAAGTTGCGTGAACTAATTGTGGGGCTCTTGAAGGTCGAATGTTTTCCTTGTTCGTCAAACTCTGTTTTTTTCATTAATTTCATTATGTTGTCTTAGTGGAGTGAAGTAGGGTCGTATCCTACGATGAGATTAAATACCTAATTTTTAGGATGGCAATCAAGTTGCTGAAGTATTTATACTTGAAAATTTACGATACTGCTGAGGTTCACACAAGCAAGGAAAGTCCCAGTTTCTCCCTTGGTTACTCGTACTGTTATTCTGCAAAGGTCTTTTCGATGTGCACTTTATGTTGCCAGATTGTTTCTGTTGGGGGATGAGCCTAATTGGATTTTATTTTCTAAAAACCTTTATAAATGAAAAACTGAGCAGTTTAAGTTTTGCATCCCAAAGATTGGAGAATTTCACATCTTTATGCTGCATGTGGATGTCAAATGGCAAAAGGGTGGTGTGTATTATTTGGTCAGCGTTTCGGATTACAACCAAAGAGTAGGTGCTAACTGAAAAAAACTTCTAAAGATGTAATGATTAGTAGTTGTTTAACTTGGAAAGTGAAACAAGTGACAGAGAGTAAGGATTTTGGAATTCTCATGATTCAGAGGTGGTTGAGCATGAAGGATAATATTGGTCCGTAGGAGATGTGGTTTTGAAGAAACCAATAGGAAATAATCACACTATTATTTGGAATTTTGAACTTGACTACCAAGTGAGTGATATGTTAATAGAATTTGACAATGAACTGGAGCTTTAGAAAATATTTGTGCTATCTTTAATTACAGATGCATACATGTGACCTCTAAAGTTCAATTTTTTTTATTAGAGGGTTCAATAAAATTGTGTGCAAAACTTTATTAAGCTATTGAACTACCAATGGACTATTCCATAACCTGGTCCTTGTAGCCACAGGGATGATTTCATCGCAGAAAGGATCTTGTTTTCAAGTATTTTTTGGTGGATGGTTATACTTATTATATTTCAACAGTATTACCAGTTCACCACTGATAATTACTGATGGTACTGTCTGATCATTACCAAGATTAATCGTTGCTCAGTAATATTTGATAAAATATTGGATATTAGAGGCACACATTGGTTCCACAGAGCTTTTGTTTTGTATTATTAACATCATTACAGTGTCACCATTCATGTTTTGTATCTTTACTTTTTTGGAGCTTGAAAAATTGATAGGCATTACCTAAAATTTGAAACATTTTTGGGTCTTATTATGCGATTTTACTCTGAATACATATATCTTCATGGCTACCATGTAAAACCTTACTAGAACACAATTCAGATATATATATATATATATATATATATATATATATATATATATATATATATATATATATATATATATAT